GCCTCGAGAGGGCGCTCTAGGCTTGTCTGCTGCTACTATTACTCCGGTACCACTGTCTCTTGGCTCTACTGCACATGTCTCCTGCAGAAAGAGCCGCTGTCCTGTGTGGGATCTGGTCAGTCCATCGCACCATTACTTCTGTACCAGTTTAAGTGACTTCAGTGAGAACCGAAACCATCCTGTCAGGATTCAGGCAGGCCGGAACAATTCTATATAGGTCACGGAGTTGCTCAGAAGTGACACAGAGGATGAAGAATTGAACGGATTTAGTGATTTGGAGTGAGATGGAGAGTTTGGTCAACTTTTTCTGTTGTTTATGCGAGAGTTATCTGAAGAACTGTTCTCTGTTCTATTATTTTTACTAGAACTTGACTTTCAAGGTGAAATGTTGGTTCCTTGTCTCTGATTCTATAAAACTAATGTCCCCCAAAAAGTGTGACTTTTATGTTTTTTAATCTTCATTACACATTTTTTGGCTGGTGCAACTTATACTTCGGAGCGTCTTATAGTCCATAAAAATACAGTAATCATGAAATATAATATATCCTGTCATGTACACTTTAAATAATATTCAAACTCGGGCTTACCTCCGACCTAGTGTCTCGCACTTTGAAGGGAAGTTTAACCACCACAGCTTCCTGAGTGTCTCTGTTTTGACACTCCACCACTTGACCGAAGGCTCCGTAGCCTATACATTTTATGTATTCATACTGTAGTGGTATTGACTTCTTAATCCTGGTAATTGCCATTTGACTATTGGGGTCCAAATTTGAAGGTCTCAAATTCGTCTCGTCCTCTGAAACCCATGGAGCCGTCTCCAGATCCTCTTCGTCCGTTGCAAACCACGAACTGTTGTTCCAACTGTTGTACGAACTGTTGTTCGAACAACAGTTGGTACAACAGTTCCCTTGTAATGAACAGGTCGAACCCATTTCCAGATTTTGGGGTTGGCTACCTGCACAAGCAATGACAGCGCAGTAAATTAGTTTTTCCCCCTCACACAAGTGCACCCACAGGCAGGTGAAAGTCTGGTTTTGAAGTGTACTGGCGTCAGCTGATGTTTGAAACTTATCTAGTAACTTGCAACCACTTCACAAACCAGGATTCACATGAAAAAACAAACATCTTTCGCAAACAACTGCAAACGAAATTTTTTTTTGTCAAAACACATGAAAATCCTGGTGTAGTACCTTGCGTATGTGACTGTAGAAGAAAACTAGCAGATTTTAAGCCTTGTTTGTTGAGTTGTGTCTCCCTGACAAAAAGTACGTCTGTCCTCTGCTTCGTCTACCTGGAAATGAACTGAAGAAGTGGAGCATACATAGGCTTATAGAGACAACGTACTTTACGTGTCATCGAGGTTACATAACAAAGTATTCTACACCTTTGATCGATCGCCATAGAGACCATTCCAGAATTCCATAATATGCAAATGAAAACAGCTTTGTTATGTTTTAAAATATGTTTACTTTAGCTGTTCTCTATGAAAGCATGAACTGATGGAAAACGTGTAATACATTGTGCTTGCATTTATTTGAGTAAACAGCAGAAGAAGTTTCCAAATGATACTTCTAAATTTAAGGCGAGACACTGTAGTTGAATAGGACAAAATCTTAAATTTAGAGATATCAATTTGAAACTTCTCCTGTAGTTTATAATACAAGCCGTGTGTGTGTGTGTGTGTCTGTGTGTGTGTGTGTGTGTACGTGTGTGTGTGCGTGTGTGTGTGTGTTTGTGTGCGTGTGTGTCTGTGTGTACGTGTGTGTGTGTGTGTGTGTGTGTGTGTGTGTGTGTGTGTGTGCGTGTGTGTGTGTCTGTGTGTGTGCGTGTGTGTGAGCGTGCGTGTGTGTGTGTGTGTGCGCGTGTCTGTGTGTGTGTGTGTGTGAGTGTCTGTCTGTGTGTGTGTGAGTGTCTGTCTGTGTGTGTGTGTGTATATGTGTGTCTGTCTCTCTGTGTGTGTGTGTGTGTGTGTGTGTGTGTGTGTGTGTGTGTGTTGTGTGTGTGTGTGTGTGTGTGTGTGTGTTTGTCTGTCTGTGTGTGTGTGTGTAAACAACATGTAAACAAACAGCGCTGTGTGACAGCGTCGGGCTCTGGCCTGGTTCGGTTGTGCACGTGTGAGTGCGGTCATAGAACCCCGGGCAATCATGCTTGGACGGCACGTTCCTAAAGTCCTAGTATGAGTGCACCCCAAAAGAACTGCTCAAAAATGCATGTGTGTTAAAATCCAACTACACAGTTCAATTTGAACTCAACCTAATGATTACGCTCAATTATTACAAAATAAACTTTTTAGAACTTTCTACCGTGTTATAATATTTAAAACCACACCTGAACAGGTTTCATGTGTCATCCATGCATGCTTGAGTAATCTTGCATTCTCTCCTGGACTATTTGAACCCTCCTCATTGTAAGCTCAGCCCACAAGCCGACTCCACCCGTGCTCCTGCACGCTTATTTTCCATAAATATACAAAAGCAGAATACAAAAGACAACGCTCGGAAGGGAAACTGTTAGCAAAACTGAATCTATTTACACATGTTTTTATGCTGTTTTCGGTTAATAGCATTTCAAAACAATAAAAAGGAACATGGAGATCTAAATATGCTATGTGTTAATAATTAATGTAATACCCCCTTTCCAAGATGAACATCTAGTAATGGCCAATTATTATAAGCAGCGTGAAGCTTTTTCTGCACCTTCTAGTCATCTCATGCAAAAATGGCTTTCTAGCTGTAGTACCATTGCACATCTGACATTTCCAAATATGCAACATCAGCAAAAATACTGACTCAGCATGTAGAACATTTTAATCCATCTTCTGGTTTGTCAGAGGGCATAAGATGTTTTGTTTGTCTTCACATGACAAATGTGTGAATCAAATTTTGTGGCTCTACGACAAAGTTGTTGGGACATTTT